TATTCAATACGGCTTTGCTTTGAAAATTTTATGTCGTGGTTCACTGGGGCATCAGGGTAACTCCGGCTCCGCCCCTAGGAGAGAAGATGGCACCAGGCTCGCTAACCATTGAATTCACGAGTTTTGCTTTTGGTTGTTCTACATGTTGGTCAATCCATTGATTCATTCAATGTTACAACACGATAATCATCACGTTGTACTGCATGGACACACTATCGTGTTGTTCCACGGGACCCAAGGCGGACCATTTACATTCATGCGTTGTTGGATGAAGTTCAGGGGCACGGTGCATGGGATGTCATGTGCACATTCTGACTAGAGTATTGTTGAATTTGGAACTGATGAATTTGAAAATTTTGTTAAACATCCGGTTATCTCAGATGTAATATTTATAGTTGAACTATTGTTGTACAAGGGATATTTGCATGTTATTTATGGATGCATTGTGCTATTTTCTATAATTATTATCAGTATTGCAGACTTAAGAAGAAAAAAGGCGAACATTTAGGGGACAATGTTGGATGGCTGGCTGCCGTATCCATGTTAGCGGACAAGTCCGGACCAGTCGCGGAGAAACAATGTGTCTGTTTTGAAAGTCGGCGCTGGAGGTGCCCTAACCCTTGAATGGGAATAGTCAAATTAAAAGATCAAGACCTTGAATTTGGTGAAATGAACTAGAATTTCAAGAACGAACTTCGAAGTTATGGTGTTCCACGTGTCAATTCAAAATCACGGCACATTTTTTTTCTAAATCGGACACTTATATTTAGAATTTTTAGAAGTTTCTTAACGAAATGTAAAATTTCAGAGTATAAACTTCCGCAAAGGCTCTAGTTAAACCCTAATTATCGAAGCAGGTATCTCACACTATTACTTTTAAAATGGTGTAATTTTGGATGAGATTTCCATGGTCTTTTGATGTAGTTGACAACATGAAGGTAGGAACCATAGCCACCATAAGTCCCCTCGTACTCACCGACTGATTTCGCCGGTCTCCCTCGCCTCCGTGGTCTATTTCAGCGTCAGGAAGCCAGGAAGATCATGGATCTTCACGCTCACATAGTCACATGGAATTTTGCTCTGATGTGTTAGTTCTTGGTGTGTCCGTGTCATTTGTTTTGGCGGTGGAGATAACACTTTCGTGCAATGAGTACCTCCCGCCTCAACCTCATTGAGTCACAATGGTTCCAACATTGCCGTGGGGTGCGTGAGGATTGTGTTTCTTCAAATCTGATTAGTCAGATTATAGGGCGAAGGGGTGTCAACCACGGTGCTTCCGCCTCGGTTCACCGTGGTGCACGTGCCATCGTCAGTATGAGTTCTTAATTTCCAACTTTTTTTCTTTTTGGACATTTCAAATGAGTCTTTTGCATTTAAAGATTCCCACCCCTCCCCCACCTAAAAATACTAATAGAACGCCCGTGCATTGCTAGGGGCTATAATACATATAAATGAAATAAATGATTAGAGTCGTCTCTAAGGTCAAAGCTCATTTCTCTCCATACGTACGGTGAGTTCAGACATCAAAGGGGCGCCCAGCAGGCGCCCCAAAATTCAACTGCCTGGACAGTCCGGACTTTCCCTAATCCAGACCATATGTGGGAAAGAAATGTGTTTGTCTGGACTATCCCTCATGTTATCTCCAATATACGGTCCAAACACAAACCCCCCATATACTATTATCTGCAGGAAAGCAACCGCAGCGGTGGTAAACAGGAGGTGGGGTAACGCCCAACCCGGTCGCTCCCGCGGGCGGCCAGGGGGGCGAAAACCTTGCCGCCGCCAGCGCAGATCCACCGGTCAGCTTCCCCTCGCCGCCGCCGGCAGACGTCGCCGGGCAAAGCCTGCGCGGCTCGGCGGCGGCGGGGCACTCCCTCCTCCCGTCTGAGCTCCAGCAGCGCGGGCTGCCCATCTCGGCGGGATCCAGGGCGCAGCTCCCGCGTCGGTGCGCGCACGGGCTGGGGCGGCCGCGTTCGAGCGCGGGGAGGCGCGCGTAGGGCGGCGAAGCTTGGCTGTGCCGGTGAGGCTACAGATCTGGCGGCTCGGGGAAGGGCGCGGATCTGGCGAGTTGGGCGCGATGGCGGAGCTCCTCGGCTGTGCGGCGCGGGCAGTGAGGCAGGGATGGCTGCGGCCTGGGCCATGCGGTGGCCGTGCGGGTCGCAGGCGCACCGCACCAGGGCAGGCTCCTGCTGGATCTGAAGAGGGCCGCCGTCTCTTGCTTGGTGCTGCGGCAGAGGAGATGGGTCAGGCGGGAGCCAGCTTCTCGGCGGCGCGTGGGCTGTAGTCGGCTCTGTGCACCGGCGGCAGTCGACTAGTTGGGCTCCAAGGATGGTGCGAAGCAGATCGGGCCCCAGCGCCCTGTTCTGTGAGGAGGCCGTGACGACCGTCGGGCGCATGGGGCCGGCGGCTCTATCCGGCAAGGACCGGCGGCAGCAATGAAGACCTGGACCCCGGCGTCCAGTTCTGAAGGTGGTTGCGGAGGACGTTGGGCGCGTGGGGCCGGCGGTCGCCGGCCGTGTGTCTGCAGTGGTGGTCTGGCTCGGGTTGGTGGTCGGAGGTGCAGCGCCGGGTGAAGACTTTGCTGCCGGCTCTTGAGCTGGGGCAGGCGACGGCGACGCCTGCGGGCGCCGCTTCCTTCTTGAAGGCGTCGCTGAGGCGTTCCTGCTCACTCCACTACGCAAGGATGCTCGGGGGAAACCCTTGATCCCCTAGGATCGGACGATGATGGCGGCGTGCGTCGCACCTCTTGGGGCATCGTTCCAGGAGCTCCTTACCGTCCAGAGGGACCAGTGATAGGTGGGGGAGGTTGTGCTGCTCGGTCGTGTCCGTACGGCAATGGAGCAGTTTGGCTTCTGTGGCAACGATAACGGCGGTGAGCATTGTCGGAGGCGTGGCATTGGTCATGGTAGTCGGCTCTTCTCCGGCGTGTCCGTGAGACTACCTCGGCTGCTTGTTTCTGTGAAGTCGAAGCTGCGGTGCGGGGCACCGGTGGTGTACGATGACGAGCGACAAGTGGTCCGTTCGGTGATCTTCCGTGACGCCAACATTGCTTTGCTCTCTGTAGTTCTCCGCAGGAGTCGTAGCTGCGTTGTCTTGCTGTGGGTGGATGGCGTTCCGCCGTGTAAGGGTAGTGTTGTTCGGTGGCCAATAGGGTTGTCGTTTTTCTTTTCTCATTGATCTTCGGATCCTCCCCATGTTGTTCTTCCGCTGCTTTCTGCTTAATCTAATTAAAGCCAGCAATTTGCTGAATCTTTCAAAAAAAACACAAACCCCACCCCACGGCGCACCCTTCCCTTTTCCTGCTGGATCCCATCCCCCTACCGCTCGGTTTCCACCGTAGCAGGACATTTCTCGCTGGAACCCTCTTCTTAAATCTAGATAACGCCCACCCCACCTTTACCACATGGCGCCCTCCTTCCATCTCACCATACTCCCCATGAACCGCCAAGGAGGAGTCCTCCACCACCGCCCCGCTCTCCACCCTGATCACTCCTCCTGTGTTCGTGTCGATCCACCATTGCCATCAAGTGGGAGGAGGCGTGCACCGCCCATGATGCCCCCCGGGCCAAGAAGGAAGATCCGATGTCTTCTGAGCCAATGCCACATTGTACCATACAGTTGAATATCGTGCATTACCACGGAACAAAAAATATGATGTCATTGTTGGGAATGCAATTGATACGCTATCATGTCCATTATTAACTCTTGAAGCAACCAACCAATGATGACATATAGTGCGTTGAAACAAGAAGATAAATATTTCAATGGTTCAACATAATAGTGTGCCACATATTCTTTTAGAATCCTAAGCCCTCGGTCTTCTTTTCTGCTTTGTGCAGCCGACATTTCAATCCAATTCCCTACATACACTTAATTTAGTGTACACTTATAGATACAATAATAGTTTGAAGTATTTTGAGGAAGTAAAGAACAACATTTTAGCAGCAACAAAATCTCTTGGTCCTAATCAGAAACCATTCATCACTGTAATTATTTACCCAATTATTTTTGCACTGGTGTTGGTGCTTAGATTGATTTTCTATGTTGACCGTGAATATGACATGAATAATCATATATTTTCTGAACCACACAATACCAACATGTATGATCGTGTATACCAATAAGGACTCATGACAACAAGCGCCAACCATGACACGCACTATCATTATCGAATTCATCTTATCGTTTTCTGCATTTCAAGAGGGGAACAATTTAGACATGGAATGGAAAACTTAAGCAGAATAAGTTTTTAGCAATTCTCTTCACCTGCAGAATAACTCGGTTGTTATTTCTTGCCGTGCATAGTACACGTCATAAATTTGTCGTCATATAGAAATACTCCCTCTATTCCCTTTTACATGCCAGACTCGTTTTGTGTTATTTAACTTTCTCACTATTTTTTGTTGTACCATGGGAAACTTCGCTGAAATACTAATCCGGTGATACATTTTTTGTGAAATATAACCCATGTTTAGTTGGTAAAACATCATTTTTGGAAAGTGTGTGCGCCATGTATTTGGGGCGGAGAAGCCATGGGGTGCGTGCGGATTGTGCTTCTTCAGATCACATCGGTCGGATTATGGGGCGAAGGGGTGTCAACCATGGTGCTTCCGCCTCGGTTCACCGTGGTGCACGTGCCATCGTCAGTATGCGTTCTTAATTTCCAACATTTTTTTCTTTTGGGACATTTGCAATGAGTTTTTTTGCATTTAAAGATTCCCACCCCTCCCCCGCCTAAAAATATCTAGCGAAAACTGATCACCGATTTTGCTTGCGGGCGCGCACAGCTGGAGCGTGGAGTGCCGCTCCATCCAAAGACCACCGATCGGACACCCGGCTTTCCGCGCGAGCGCATGCATCAGCAGATAGGCTGATGCGCGCACACACACAATGGAACGCAGCAGCTTGTAATATATCTATCCAACCTCTCGTACACGCACCTACTGATATACGCCTCGTTCGAGAGCCCGAAGCTAGCTATAGCTTCGCCCGAATCGAACATGGGAGAACACCACCTCCCGCCGGAGCCAGCCGACCACCACAAAGGCGGGAAGGCCATCCACGCCGATGACCTGAAGCCCGCCCGCGGCCGCCGCTACAGCTACTACGGCAGCACGGGCTCCCGCGGGGCCCTGAGCACCATCTGCTCCGTCCTTCTGCTTCTAATCCTCCTCGCCGGCGTCATCGCGCTCGTGCTCTACCTCGTGTACCGCCCCAACAGCCCGGCCTTCACCGTCACCAACATCGCCGTCTACTCGCTCTCCAACGTCACCGGCCCCTCCGCGGGCCTGCCGGCCGCGGGTGCCCGGGCGCCGAACGCCGTGGCGGCGTCGTTCCAGTGCGCCCTCGTCATCCGCAACCCCAGCGGGCGGTCGTCCGCGCGGTACGACCGGCTGACGGCGTACGTGGTGTACCGCGGGGAGGCCATCACGGCGCCGGCGGAGATGCCGCCGCTGGTGCAGGACCCGGACAGCGCGGTGGTGGTGGCGCCCGTGATCGGGGGCGGCGGGGCGGCCCCTGTGCCCGTGTCGCCGGAGACCGCGGCGGCCCTGGCCAACGACGTGTCCTACGGCGTGGTGTCGCTGCGGGTGGTGCTGCTCGGCCGCGTGCGGTTCGTGTCCGGGCCGTTCCGGACCGGGTGGCGCTCCATGTACGCGCGCTGCGACCTGCTCGTCGGCGTCCGGAAGGCCCCGGGCAGCGTCGGCGCCGCCGGTGTCCCCGAGGCGCCGCTGTTCGGTAACCCCTCCTGCAACGTCGATGTGTGATATACCGGCAGCCCCGCCCGCGCCATAATTACATTGCATCGGACAAACACCATGGCCGTGCGTCCGCGTGCTCCCCTCACCCGTCGTGGTTTGTATGCCAAAAAATGTACTCCAATAACATGCAATGTATTTACTTCGTAAAGATCTCAATTCGCCTAGTACTATCAACGACAACGAGCAACCCGCAAAAAAAAAAAAACGACAACGAGCAGGAGCTGTACATCACCTGCAAGCATTTACGAGTTCCAATGGTGGCTGAAACTCATCGGCATCGGCAGTTTGGAGTTTTCTTCTTTCATCGGCGGCAATCATGGCTTCCATTTTGAGCACGACACAAGAGACGCGCACAACAAATAATTCTTTTTTTAGGCAAGAGACGCGCAACCGAAGAGCGAGCACCGACTGCGAGAGCCCACGGTGTTCCCCGCAGCCCACAGGCTAAGGAAAAAGGAAAATGGCACCATGCGCTGTGTGGGCATTATTGGATGATGAGCTCGTAGAATATCTTAGCGCATCTTCAGTCGCGCCCTTAAGAAGGCCCCCTAAATATTTTTTTATCCACCGGCACCAAAAAATTGATCCAGTCACGCTCCCAAAAGCCCAGTTTTCGCCGGCTCGGGCCGAAATTGGCGCCGGCGGACCCAACCCGAACCCGGCGCGCTGGGGTCGCTCGGGGGCGCCGGGCGAATCATTTTTGGCGTGAAGAGCCGCGGGTCCGCCGCGTCAGCGAGTCTACTCTCTTCTCGCCCCTTCGTCGTCCTCATCGCCTCGTTTCCCGCGGCGAATTAATGCCAAAGCTGGCGCGCGCTGCCGCGCCGGTCAGCCTCCATTGATGCCTCACGGGCGGCGCAGTGAAGGCCGGGCGACGCATCCCTCGGCCGCCACGCAATCACGCCACGCGTAGCGCGCCGGCCAAGCCTACCATGCGGTGTCTCCGCCTATAAAAGCCGACTGCAAGCGCGCCGGAGAGACTCACCCCGATCATCCACCGACGACGCGCTCATTTCTCCTCCTTTCCTTCTCTCGCCGTCACCAGTTGAGAAAGCATGGCCGAGCGTTTCCCAGGCGACGGCACGGCGGCGAACAGATTCGGGCGCCATCATCTGCACGAGGACGAGGCTCGCCTCCTTTTCGAGGCCGAGTACCCGGTCCCGCCGGACATGCGGGTGCCCGAGGCGTGGAGGATCAGCGCCGGCGGCGTGCCGGTGCCCCCGGTACCCACCGGCGCGGCGCGGTGTGCGGAGATTGCACGCATCCGCTCGTCCCTGCCGCGTGCGGCGAGGGAGGGGCCCCGGTACGTCCCCGACAGCCCAATCTGGGAGCCGTACTTCCGCCGCCGCCACGACGAGCAGCTCGAGGCCACCAACGGCGTCGTGCCCTCCGGCGGGTTCAACGCCGCCGGCCGGCGTCGGTGGTGGGGCGTGCTCGAACGCATGTTGGAGTCCGTCCTCGAGTACATCGAGGGCGGCAACACGCCGCGCCTCGAGTAACCCGCTCCCCCGTCCTTCTCACGCCGCCGGGGCCGTCGGGGAAGCTCCTGGACGCCTAGGCGCATGGAGACCGGGGTGTCCTCCTCCTCGTCCGGCGGCTCTTCCTGCCTCCACCTCCGCCCCGTCAAGCCGGAGCCCCAGGACACACCTGTCAGCGCGCGTACCCGCAGCTCCGGCGCCCTCGTCGAGCCCAAGGTGGAGCCCAGCCTCCCCCCGGAGTACGAGGAGATAGCCCGGCGCGGCTTCTCCGACGAGGACGCCATGCGGTGGTCGCGCGACGACTACCTACGCGAGGAGATGATCCGGCAGCGACGGGCCCTGGAGGAGATCGCCGCCCGCAAACGTGGGCGCGAGGACGAGGGCGGTGTCGTCGTCCTCGATAGCGACGACGACGACGCCCCCGGACCGTCCAACCCGCCACGCCAACCGGGGGAGGGATGCAGCAAGGACGACGGAGGCGTAGGCGGGGGCGACGACGACGACGACGGCGGCGGCGGCGGTGACTACACGCGGTTCTACAGCCTCCTCGGCATGTAGAACCGCGTGGGCGGGCGATGAGGGGACGGCGGGGTAGTCCGCGGTAGTTTTTTTCTTTTTTTTTGTAAAATATGTTTAAATTTGAACGAACTCGCCCGTGTTTGCGTTTGCGCCGAATTTGAACATTTAAAAAACCCGTGGAGGCCGCGACTAGGGGGCATCACGCCCCAGTGCGCGGTTTAGCACCGGTGCACCCTCAGGGGCGATTTTTTACCCCTCCTAAAGGGCTAACGGCTGGAGATGCCCTTATTGCAGGCAGGCAAGCTGACGGGAGAGTATGGCAAATGGAGCTTATGGATTCTTTTTTTTTTTGCGAGCTCAAAGGAGCTTATGGATTCGACAGAAGACAAGTTCATTCACATATGTCTGGACTCGGGAAGACCAGGGGTCTTTTTTTTGGAGCTTCAGTAGTGGTGTCCCAGGATATAATCGAGCTAGAAACTTTATGCGGAAAATGCCAACGAAGGCTTAGCTCCCATGAGCTCGTTTTCAAATTTTATTTTTTTCAGAGCGCGAAAAATTCCAAATTTATTTGTGAACGCATGTGCACATGTATATTACGTATGTGCAAAATTTCACAACACTACACTTTTACATGTGGCATAGAGAAAAAAAGACAAATACGCGTTTTTAAACTGGCCTTTAATTTTTGTCATTGGGCTGGAAATTTGTCTTTTTTGTACAGTCTACAAATCACAACATTTTTCGACGAAATTCAACACGTTGCTGCAGAATGCATATATGTTTTCATGGATTCTTTTTCAAATTTTTGTGAAACTTTTAAATGTGCTTTTTGGTATTTTAAAATACCGAGCTCACTGGAGCTCGGCCTCCAGAAATCCGCACTCCTGACTGTGCTGCTACTGTAAATCATCTCAAGAATGCATACAGAGGGATAAGGAGTGTCATCCTTCAAGAGATAAAGATGAAGATAGAAGACTTTGTTGAAGCTTATTTATTTATTTATTTTGCACGAAAAACTTTTGATCTATTCATCATCTGTCAAGCAGTACAAAGAACACTAGAAGTAAAAATTACATCCAGCTACGCAGACCATCCTAGCGACGACTACAAAGCACTGGAGTGAGTTGAAGACGCGCCGTCGTCATCGGCTCTTCCTCGCCGGAGCCGGGCAAACCTTGTTGTAGTAAATAGTCGGAAAGTCATCGTACTAAGGCCCAATAGGACAAATGCACCAAAATGAAGGAAATATGCCCTAGAGACAATAATAAAGTTATTATTTATATTTCCTTATATCATGATAAATATTTATTATTCATGCTAGAATTGTATTAACCGGAAACTTAGTACATGTGTGGATACATAGACAAACAGAGTGTCACTAGTATGCCTCTACTTAACTAGCTCGTTAATCAAAGATGGTTAAGTTTTCTAGCCATAGACATGTGTTGTCATTTGATGAAGGATCACATCATTAGAGAATGATGTGATGGACAAGACCCATCCGTTAGCTTAGCATAATGATCATTTAGTTTTTCTGCTATTGCTTTCTTCATGACTTATACATGTTCCTCAAACTATGAGATATGCAACTCCCGAATACCGGAGGAACACCTTGTGTGCTATCAAATGTCACAACGTAACTGGGTGATTATAAAGATGCTCTACAGGTGTCTCCAATGGCGTTTGTTGAGTTGGCATAGATCGAGATTAGGATTTGTCACTCCGTGTATCGGAGAGGTATCTCTGGGCCCTCTCGATAATGCACATCACTATGAGCCTTGCAAGCAATGTGACTAATGAGTTAGTCACGGGATGATGCATTACGGAACGAGTAAAGAGACTTGCCGGTGGCGAGATTGAACTAGGTATGATGATACCGATGATCGAATCTCGGGCAAGTAACATACCGATGACAAAGGGAACAACGTATGTTGTTATGCGATTTGACCGATAAAGATCTTCGTAGAATATGTAGGAGCCAATATGAGTATACAGGTTCCGCTATTGGTTATTGACCGGAGATATGTCTCGGTCATGTCTTCATAGTTCTCGAACCCGTAGGGTCCGCACGCTTAACGTTCGATGACGATTTGTATTATGAGTTTCGTGTTTTGATGAACCAAAGTTTGTTCGGAGTCCCGAATGAGATCACAGACATGACGAGGAGTCTCAAAATGGTCGAGACATAAAGATTCATATATTGGAAGGCTACATTCGGACACCGGAATGGTTCGGGTCGTTTCGGATAAGTTTCGGAGTACCGGGGGTTACCGAAGACCTCCCCCCGGAGGTTAATGGGCCACCATGGGCCTTAGTGGAGAAGAGAGAGGACCGGACAGAGGTGGCGCCCCCCTGCCCAGTCCGATTTGGACAAGGGCGCCCCCTCTTTCCTTCTCTTCTCTTCCTCCTTCCCTTCTTCTCCTACTTGAACTAGGAAAGGGGGGACCGAATCCTACTTGGACCGGGAGTCCAAGTAGGAGTCCCCCCATGGCGCACCCCCTAGGGCTGGCCACCTCTCCTCTCCCCTTTATATATGTGGGAGGGGGCACCCCAAAGTCACACCAAGTCTTCTCTTAGCCATGTGTGGTGCCCCCCTCCGCAGTTACACACCTCGGTCATATCATCGCAGTGCTTAGGCGAAGCCCTGCGCTGGTAACTTCATCATCACCGTCATCACGCTGTCGTGCTGACGGAACTCTCCCTCGGCCTCAACTGGATCAAGAGCTCGAGGGACGTCATCGAGTTGAATGTGTGCTGAATGCGGAGGTGCCGTACATTCGGTACTTGGATCGGTTGGATTGCGAAGACGTTCGACTACATCAACCGCATTACTAAACTCTTCTGCTTTCGGTCTACGAGGGTACGCGGACACACTCTCCCCGCTCATTGCTATGCTTCTCCTAGATAGATCTTGCGCGATCGTAGGATTTTTTTTTTGAAATACTACGTTCCCCATCAGTGGCATCCGAGCCAGGTCTATGCGTAGATGTTATATTCACGAGTAGAACA